AATTATATTAAGAATACATCGATTAAGACTCGCTTAGACCGCGCTTTGTATCTCATTCAGTTCAAAATAGGACCCGATGGAAACCGTGGTAAAATCAACGGCCTTAAATAAAACTTGAGAAAACATGTTCTCTCACAAAGTCAGATTTAAGTATACTCATATTGATGAGTGTTGTTTGTCTCAAGAACGGTACTATTTCATTTTTGGATGACGTGTAAAATGGGCTAAAACATCTGATCCGACGAACAACCGCGTACAATAGTAGAAGCACCGGTGATACAGCTTCGGTTAATTGTGATGAACACGCAATCGGCTGGTGAGCACGCAAATCCATGGATTAAGATAGGCCAGCGAATACACAGAATTTACTTGTTAGCCACTAGGCTTGACATGCAACAATCTGAACCAGCATTCATCGCCCATTAGTTTTCCCTCACCTCAAGGCGGATGTTGCATCGCACTCAGAAAGTTAGAACGGAAGACTTTTTGTAGAATATCATCTTCCGCGTCACTCAAGCAGGCGTATACTGGGCCAACAAATTCAACAAATGAATTGGATTGAAACCTCGAGAAACTTAATTAAGTGAAGATTTAGACCAAGCATTCGTTTGGATAAATGACTGAAGCGCTCTGATATTTTGTCGCAATACTAGTCAAAGTTAACCGCAGTTCGCTTAGTTTGGCACAGTCTGTTTTGTCCATCAGGGGTTTCCAATGTTGTGACCTACACCCGATCCCGCAATGATGGGTGGCTATTACAATTCAACAAACACTTTTTCTGACTTGGGCAACAGTTTGTACAAGTAGTGGATGCATTTCAAATTGATAATGTTGGCCTTATGAAATTGTGGCCCAACTTTCAACGATATCGCTCCAGACATAAAGAATGGTAAGCGCGAACCTGTTACATGGGTAAAACAATTCTATCAGGCGAAAAACATCGCTAAAGTTGATATTGTGATGTCTATTGTTTCATTCTGCTCCCTCTGCAATCATAACCTTTCTATACACTGCACATATGTAAACGGCAATCTCAGGCTTGTCTTTAGCCTGCGTGCTCTGTGGGAAACATTCTTGTGGGGTGAGGGAAATTTCCTCCACACTTCAAGTATCTGGGAGCTGGAAGAAGAATTTTCTATGATTGGTAGTCCGTTAAAGTTACGTGAAGCACCGGACAGTTCGGAGTTTGAATGCACAATGCGAACATCTTCGCCTTGGAAACTGGGACTGCCGTGTGAGTCAAAATGCTCTAAAGCACCCGTGTGTACATCTTCGAGTCAGTGACTAAGTGCGAATTCAAGGCCGTTCCACCGAATTCGGTACCCACGAGGGGTCGGACTATATGGCGAAGCCTGATAAACCGATTGTCTTAAATATTCACCAAGAAATCCTCCAGCATCCTCACGGAATAAGCGAGCAGCAATGTATTGCCTGGAAGAACCAACAGTGTAACAGGGGATATTACTAATGGGGCAGGCGAGTAGTTTTCCGGTAAATCCGGTTGAAAAGTGGAATTACTTTGTGACATTCGCTTACATTTGAGTAATAGTCAATGAGTATCCAGAAGATCTCAGGAAGATGCGTTCTAGGAGAGGACGGATACTTAGTTTTTTATGAACAGGAGGAGCCTGAGAGTTTCGCCTCCCTGTTCAATAGTCTGTAACTGTTTAGTTGGCGTTTTCCAAAAAATAACTCCGGAGTTAAGGCCTTCTTTCTATCACCAGTAGTCGAAAAAGAAGCAGCTGTACATTAAATCATGCCTTGCATTACTAACGTCCTAAATCATTTGGTGGAATTTGCCTAAGCATAGTGAACTCTAAATCGCCGGCTGTAACATTACGCTTATAGAGATTCAGGTGTAGAATGTAGTTACCTCAAATACAAAAGATTTGACATCAATTGTCAGCCCTTGTGGCTACCATTTTGGATTTTGCAAAAGTATTCGCCTAACCGATAAAGATTTATTGCTGTGTCTGAGTGCAAAAGTCCAACTAATCAGCGGGCAAACGCTGCAAGCCAAGGTAAACGAAAATCAATTTCCGGTTCCAAAGAAGGTAATGTAGTGTAAGAATACCCATGTTCTCCGCCTTTTCCACCATCCTAATTTGACGTCTGGTTTAATTGCATTTCCAAAGTTAAAACAGTACACCTTGTTTAGGCATATTCGCGAACCAATTCACAGATGGTCTCCAAAACCATATCCTAAAAATTTCCCGCTGATTGTAGAAATACAGCTTGAAGATATTCTCCGCAAGCTCTCACCGATCAGCGTTAGTAAATCTACATTTAAAAACAGCTCCGTTGAGTAGTATGGACTATCCATTTATAGAAGACCCTGTTAGTCCACCAGGATAATGCAACCTCAGCCAGATTCCAGCTACCGGAATGTAGTATCATGATGTCCACAATGTGTCATAAAAGCAAGCATCTTCCCAAGCCACCCGTGTTAGACATACGTCCACCAAAGCACAGTCTAAGGCTCAGTGAAATTTTGAGAACTGACCTTGCTTATTGTTGTTGGTTCTCACTCAAACTTCTTCGGAGTCATTTGGGATAACTGGCGATCACTATGCTGAGATTTTTGAGATATTGTTCGTCTACAGCTTGATATCTATACAGCATGATATATACATATATCGCTGGATCACACCCGGTCCTTCAGTTTTCTAACTCAAAATGCAATGGTTACACCCTCTTTAACTTCATTTGTCAAGTATTCGGGGGATATGGAAATGAGAGCCATGCTGGAGGCGACGGCCCAATCAACTCGCCAACACCAATTGGTATCGTACGTCCCCTGCGGATGAGCAGCTGCGTAGTGGAGATTATAGCTTCAACACAATCTGTGTATGAATACATGACACCACCATATATAAAAGGGTCGTGAACGTCTCGTTCCACGTATACACTCAAGGACTCGGCGGTTACCGACGCTACTCAATCGAACGCAAGCGCTTTCTTGATTACTGGTCTCGTGTTCTCACCAGGTTCGCTCAATGCTTGCGCGTCACCTGAGCTCACAAACAGATAGTCGGTGATGCTGTGCAACACACAGCGGCCACGACGTTGATTCATAAAGTAGAGCAGATCGGACCGCGGCACAGTACACTTTACCCGGGTTGCGAAAATGAGTGAAACGTTTAGGAGTTTTGAAGAAAATATTTCGTCTCCGAAGACATTCTAATTCCGCTTTGGAGCACGGTGAGATTGGACAATTAAGTAAAGGCTACAGGGTATGTCGAACTCTCTCCTCAGGAAAACTTTGAAAGATGAAAAACCGACAGTGACTGACTTCTCATCACACGAATGGTACTGTCTTGCCTTCAGCTACTTTTTACCTCGGCGGCTTTCTTGCAACCAGTTATCTTCCTACCCAATACAATTCATTTTCACTCGGTTAAACCAAGTTGCAGAAGGCAATCGCTCTCTCGGACGTTCAAATTTTGCACACAACTCATAAATAACCCATATTCAGAGGTAGCAAAGACATTCCAAGTACTGATATTTTCCGATATGAAGGCGGATGAATTGTATTTTTTTTAAATTTCTCCATATATAGTGCCACGAGACTTCACCCCTAGCAAATATACTGCAGTTTTTTCTCATGAATACTCCTTGCTTCCTCGCGCATTCGCTTTAAAACATACCATAGAGGCGTTCTTGTTCCTTTGTCCGTTATTGTCGGGGGTGTCTAAATTTGCAATGCACTGTTGAGATACTTTTCTTTAACAAAATACCCTCATTTATAAGCGAATTTAATTTTTCGGGAGACTCACCTGGGACCCAACTAAATCTCTGGTGTACGGTGTTCTTGTGATATTCTTATGATGTTCTGTCTTGTTGTTTTCAGGGTTTTCCGTTGATGGATAGTCGCAATAAGGGCAGAAATACTACACGAATACTTCGCATCCGGTTAATATGTGCACGGCACGCTCCGCTGTTCCACGTTTTTCAAGTGATTCTACTCGTCTAGAAATGGGTTTGGCAACGTTTTACATAAGTGTGGTTTATCATTGAGGTAGCCCGGGGGTAACTTCCGTCGGATGCAGGCCGTGGTTGAAAAACCAATGGTTGTAGAACAAATACCACTCGAAACGAATTGGGACTGTCCGTCGGTTTACGTGGTATGTACGTTGCTATTGATGCCTTCTGACTTCCTAGTGGGTGAATTAATGGAACTAACAGGAATTCGTCGACGCCAACTCGTTCAGTTTTTTTGTGATGAGTATCTTCATGCGTAAATGTCTAAAAGAGCGATTATCAGAGGTGCACTTTTCGGTTTGATGGTCCAAACACACCAGTTCGCTAGATAGTTTGCTATTCAATAGATCCAGTTGCACCTATTTGTACGGCATTTTGTTAACAGCATGGTTTTTAGTTCACTTGACTTACGTCTGATTACGGAGTAACAGTCGATGACTATGGATCGTGCTGTTCGTTCATAAGTTGTATGATGAATACAGCTAAAGGGCAGACATCAGTGGTAAGTACGCACCATTTTGAAACTTAACGGTGATTTCGTAATGGTTGTTGTATCAAAAGCCATTTGTATTTTTAGTACCCAGCAGAAGCGATGAACAAAGCTGTGTCAAAGAGCCATCAATTTTTTGTGCCTTTGTTTAACTACGATGTGGTGGTGACATTTTTTGGTTCACAGTGGAGGTTAAGACAAAAATTCAGATCTTGACTCGCTATGCTCACTCTGTTCATGGCCGGATCGGTATTCATAAGTCTCTGAAATTACCTATTTGTGACCACTTTGCGTCTACATTTAGGCTTGCTTAGTTCAACGAAAGTCTTCACAACGAACGGCCAGAGGACTCACCTGCTGGCTCTGTATCGCACTGAACACATTAGTTAGAGCCTCTAAAACAGAACTGTATCTATCGTGGGCAGAACAGTTGGCCGACATGGTTTCGTCACCTCTCAAACATGAGCGCTGCATCCGTCTTGGCGGAAGCCCACAGCATAACTAAGACCATGTGTACCGAAAGACGTCCTAGCGTATGCGTTTGGCGTTTACATTGCCATCCCTCATCATTTCTAACTCGGATTTCCGCATAACCACATTGGAACTGACTTGATTGGCTGACAAATCCGATGTTGTCCTTGTGATCGCTAGCAATGTGATACACTCAGCGAACAAACTAACGACAAAAGGGCTTCGTGTGGAAATCTGGACGACGAGCGAAACCGCCACTCTAAAATCGTCATCATCATTTACACTAACGCCAGCTGAGGACACTGGTAACTTGTTGCCGTACAAGCATATCAGTTTATTTGAATGAAGAACTATAATGGAACGAATAATAGTGGGAAAGGGAGGGGTACTTAAGGCTAGCTTACCACGGAAATCCATACTGCTTCACCTAAATGTGTACTGTGATATTCCCGTCCTCCGAGACCCATTCACGTATTCCTGAAACCACAAGCGGCGCAAACTGGCAAACGCAATTCTGTCTATTGAGCTTTGTGCATCGACCTCGTCTGATAGACTGCCATCCGAGATATGCATAGCGCCAAATACATAGCCAAATATTGGAGGCGTACCCAATGACCGAATACCACGTAAAATTACTTTGCACTTTCTTAGCTCTGGGCACTCGCTGATGGACTGAATAGCTTATCCTTAAATACTGGTGCTTGAATGCATCAAGGTTCTCAAAGGGCCACCTACATTTTACATTCCTAACGTAGACGTCAGTAACACTGCACTGGAACATTTTATGTAGGTTTGCCTTCTTTTAATAAAAATATGGTTGACATATTTTGGGTACCAGGAATATTTGCCTCCTCTTCCCACAAAGCAAGGCTAAGTACGAAATGAAAAACGTTTCATCTGTTCTAGACGTTTTGAAGTGAAAAACGCAGTTTCTGTCTCAGGTAATGGTGATAGCAAAACTCACTGTTTTGATCGTTTTAATGACAAATGATGGGCGCAACACATCTTGAAGGCTTTCCGTACTACTGGTTACCAGTGAGGTCAGTAGAGCGGATTTAAACAGATGAATGCACTGCTCACGTTCTGCAGCATGAATGTACGTAGAACCGTTCAGTGTGATATTCCAAAATCGCCTATTCTAAGGTTCGCGTGGAGTTTAGAAACCAGTTATCAGTTTTATCAGTCCATCTGTTGGTGGCAATGAAGCTCTGGTCGTAGGAACTTCTAAAATGATGTCTAATATTGACTTGATTGAGAGTGAGAAATCAAAGTCTAAACTGTCTGATATTGGACGGATACAGTAGAGTAACAAACAGTACTGGTTCTTCTGATTCAATTCGTGCATTATCCGACCATTAGACTGCAGTTCTATCAATTTATCATGTCACGATTTAGCTCCATATAAGTATTATAAATAACCATGCTATTCGTTTCAATTCAATCCATTTACTGATTTGGCGGGGACTGCTCAAAGTTAATTCATCTTGCGACGCCATTTTTCGCATGATGCCACGTTGCACGGGCATAACTGTTCATATCTTGATATTGGTCGACGGATAGTTTCGCCTGTGAAAAATTGATTTTTCTCTGACAATGTTCATTCTTGCATGTCTCAAGCAATCAATGGCATGGAATCAACACCGGTGGTCAAAAATTCTCAAATACAACGAAGGAACAATCGGAGGGGGTGGCTAGGCATATTGCTTATTTGAAAGCTGTTTGTTGTGCATTGAGAGTCTGTTCCATCGTGGATGGTATTCGTTGAGAGCAGTCTATTTAGAGCATTTTATCGGTTGAGATGAAAAACTGATTTAGCGAACGGGAAATTGGTGACTCAAAATATTTAGGGGACAATTGGATGGGGGAATGCAAAGTGTGAAATTCTCACTAATAAATACCACGGCTGTATTTTGAACAAATCGCACTGTAAACCAATCTTCATATTCAGTTGAACGCTTTGAGAAATAAAAACCTTGAATGTAGTGTAAACCGTCCTTTCCAGTGACGGACCACAGGGGTGTAGTTTTTCATCTCGAAACCAGGTAATCACTCCAATTTCTTGGGATAAAATAGAGTATTGCGTTTTTTTGGTTTACCACTCAAACATTTTCCGGCAGTATATCACATTCACGGAAATCCTGATAGCTACGTCAATGGTTTAGTTAACCACATTTAACACAAGATCAAAAATAATTATTTTTTCAGTCGGATGGAACACACTTATGAAACAAATTTTGAGTTTCCCTCCAAGTTTAGCACATGTGCATCATCTGTTTTAGACAAGCGTTCAGGAGTGCAGTGTATGGTACTTATGAAGCCGTAGTAAACAACTTTCCATTTCATATAAACTTTACATCCAACCCAAAGGAATGTCATTGCTTTTGACGAAAGTTCTTTTATCCTGAAATCTGGTACATCCAGTCGCTGAATATATAACGCAGTTTTACATATTTATATATAATGCTTATTAAAGCCGGATGCGTATTTGGCCTCATAAGGTGGGAGGGTCGCATTGAACGTGCCCATTGATTTTTGACCAGAAGTATCTTGTTATCTTACGTTATTCGTTAGATAAATGACTTGTTTGTGTTTCGTCTGGTGGACCACATTTATCCGATAACAGTGACCTTACAGGTGTTCTAGTTTATCATGCCGACCTGAAAGTGATGACCCGTAAGCTGCCACCGAGTTCAAATTCCCGTACCATGCTCGGCAAAATATCTCAAAACTGCCTTTTTCCAATACACGATTTAGACTCGGGTATCGCGGATGACTGCGTTGATAAATATTTGCCACCTACGACTTATAAGGTACTCCAAAATAACGTTGCTACACCAAGCGGTCTCTCGTATAAGCCTCGATTCTGGGTCCCACCTGACCTAATGAGAATAGGCGATAAACAATAAGGTACCAACTAACTCTTCAGCGATCACGTCGAATGTTTTGCCATTATTTATCTGTGTGGCCATTTGTATTTGACTAAAATCTCAGAATCTTGTGTTTCAAAGAAAACAACAATAACACATGAGCTCCTTAATTGTGACAGCGATAAGTTATCTAATTTATTGGCTCATCGGCCTGGTTTTTATTACTTTCCTCGTTAGGGTTGGTGTTGCGAATATCCCTTATTATATTTTTATCACACGTTTTTGAGTTCGGATACGGTTTAAAAAGGATCTGGCTTAGATAATAACAACATGGACAAATTCTGACGGCCTCTGAAATCTATAAAAACCCGGTCTGTTGCACTCGTGATCGGTATCCAATAGGAGCATCGCATCAGCTAGTTCAGCAATTTCGGCACCTTTGGGCCTACTTTGTTAATGCATCTTTCCTCAAATGGACGTTGTTTATTTTCAGATTTTTTGGATGCATATTTGTGGTTTTACTGATAGTTTTACCTATGTTTTTCAAACGTTTTTGGCCAGTCAAATAACATAGGTTTATTAAGCTTTCGCTGGAAATAAACAAAACTAAAGAAATAAATCAGCTTCATCCGTGTATGTTTGTTTCTCCCGGACTGTAAACTGTATGGTGTTCACAGGATTCTCCTGGAAATTTCCATCAGAGAATCTCAAGCGCAGTTAAGTTTAATGGTACTATTGCTAACTGGATTAAAACCGCTCACACGTCAGTTGTACTGATACTGTTCTTCGCAAGCACGAATATTATGTCCACATAGTCATAACACACTAACAGATGACCGATTTGCGGGCTCAGGTTGTTCACTTAAAGTTTCCTGATGAAAGCCGCTGTCAAAAAAGGTGGCTAAAATTGACACAATCCCAGCTCTTTCTGTTGATTTATCTCGCTATCTCAACTAGTCGAGATAGTATGAGCATAAAGTACTGGCTTTACTTTAAGGTCAACAACGGGTTTCTAAAAAGCATCTATCTCCGAATTTTTACAACTTTTGCACACAATGTCTAGCAGGATATTTTCCGATGTATCAGCCAAGCAAACTAATTACCGAAAGTACAATTTCTTCGGAGTCTTTCATCTTCCAATGTTATAACGAATTTCACACATTGTAGATCTTGTTAGGGGACAAATGTATGATCGCTATATATGTGCAAATGTTTTAACCTCTCGTTTTTTAATTTGGCAAGCATAAACCAGTTAACCGTTTTCTAAATATTAACATCATGACCCATTAATACTTCTCAAATTTCTGTCATTTGGTTGTCCTTAAAAATATTTTATCAATATTTTAACAAGAAGTGATTTCAGACAAACCTGAAGGTAAGCACTCGAAATATTTCATTTGTTGGCTGAATTTTAAATTATACGGCTGAGAAAAAGGGGACCACTGATCACGTGAACAACGGCAATACACGATTCGTCTGGCTTTCGTAAAAATGACAAACACTGTGTATTGCCTCCGCTTCACAATCCAATCTGGTAAATTCATTTACAGGATAGCAAGAAGGTATAGTGGCAATAAGTATGGCAGATGCAAACTCGATTTGACAGCGTCCACATGATCAGAATTTTGTTCTTTTATAGCAATTTGTCTGCATCAGAACGTCAGTGTCTGGCGTCCTTCATAAGTCATACAACTATACCCTTGCACGAGACTAATTTTGACCGCATTTGGATAAAATCCAACAAGATTGAAAGTCAATCAAGATTTCAAGTGCTTTATGGATGGATTTTTCTAATATACGGTCACAGTATGTGAAAAAGCTGGCACTCGCACTGGATATGTGTGGCCAGTAAAAATGATCTTACTTTGCAAACCAAAATGTACAGAACAAAACCAGGCCTACTAGGCACCTTCACGTCGGCTGTGTTAGCACCGCAAACAATTTGTGCCAAAAGTGTAAACTTAATGTCGCTGTCGAGCTGATACTAACTTTCGCGTCAAGTTCCCAATTTATTTCCCCAACGACATCAAAGAGTAGCTTAGTGGTAACAGATGACGTGATCTGTTGTTTTATGACTATTTGCTTGTTTCTCTGCTTTGTACCCATGTAACTTCTTCCTGGTTTTGACTTGATCGTTGGTCATTTTCCGACCTGCGCCAGCCGTCTAGTCACTCTTTGGCCTTAAAGTTGTGAACCCGTTCAATATTGTTCCACGCGTTTCTTTAGGATGTGACTAAGCTTGTCTTTGTCTTTGGCCTTAAAGTTGTGAACCCTTTCAATATTGTTCCACGCGTTTCTTTAGGATGTGACTAAGTTGCCTTGTCTTTGGGTAGGTGCACTTTTTTCTACTAACCTTAATTTATAAGCACGTCTCTGCAAATACGTTTTTGAATGCAGGCAAGCAGGATCCCACAGTTTAAATTTGGTATAGCACATTTACTACCGTATATATTGATAAGCCTGCACTTGAACAATCTGGCATT